TCTAAACTCTACACTATAAACATCTACACTCTAAACTCTACACTATAAACATCTAAACTCTACACTATAAACATCTAAACTCTACACTCTACACTATAAACATCTAAACTCTACACTCTACACTATAAACATCTAAACTCTACACTATAAACATCTAAACATCTAAACTCTACACTATAGACATCTAAACTCTACACTCTACACTATAAACATCTAAACATCTAAACTATAAACATCTAAACATCTAAACTATAAACATCTACACTCTAAACTCTACACTATAAACATCTAAACTCTACACTATAAACATCTAAACTCTACACTACAAACATCTACACTCTACACTATAAACATCTAAACATCTAAACTATAAACATCTACACTATAAACATCTACACTCTAAACTCTACACTATAAACATCTAAACTCTACACTATAAACATCTAAACTCTACACTCTACACTACAAACATCTACACTCTACACTACAAACATCTAAACTCTACACTATAAACATCTAAACATCTAAACTATAAACATCTACACTATAAACATCTACACTATAAACATCTACACTATAAACATCTACACTCTAAACTCTACACTATAAACATCTAAACTCTACACTATAAACATCTAAACATCTAAACTCTACACTATAGACATCTAAACTCTACACTATAAACATCTAAATATCTAAACTCTAAACTCTACACTATAAACTTTAAACTAGTGATTAGTGCAAAGTGAACAGTTTGACTGCAGGGATTTGACTCTGAATCGACTCGTTGCAGGAAGTGAATCAAACAGGCAGTGTTTCGGGTTGCAGTGTTTAGGGGTCGCAGTGTTTCGGGTTGCAGTGTTTAGGGGTCGCAGCGTTTCGGGGTCGCAGCGTTTCGGGTCGCAGTGTTTAGGGGTCGCAGTGTTTAGGGGTCGCAGCGTTTCGGGGTCGCAGCGTTTCGGGGTCGCAGTGTTTTTATGTAGGTTTTTTGTGAGCTGCTAAACGGAGCCAAAGCACAGAGCTGCAGCGCCGCAGAAATGCTGCATTCAGAGATTCAGAGAAAATACACAAATGTTTATGACACACTTTTGGGAATCAGGATATGGAAATATTTTCTCACAAATTAAAAACACTATTTTTTTTTTAAAATACCTTTTATAATTTGCTACGGTGATCGTGTTACTGTCTAATCCTAAAACTTATAAAATACAGTAAACGAGCCACAGCGATTATTTTTCCTTCCTCTCAGGTCACTTACTTTTGTCGCACAAACTCATCAGTGATGATCTTCTTCCCATCGCCGAACTCTTCGTGTTTCTCTCTGTATTATTTTTAATACACAAACAATAAATAACACACACAGAGTTATACTTAATTATCACATTAATTCAGATAGCACTACTATTAAAAATAAATAAATAAAAACACTTCTAGATACTAAATCATGTAAAATAATTTACTACTGCATATCAAAAATATTCTGTGTGACGTCAGGTGTGTGTTCATGTCAGTTTAACTTTTTATCACAATGTTTTATTTCACTTTATCTGCTACTTGTGATTAAATAAGGAAAATAATAAAAGTGCTCCATCCGATATTTATTACTCAGATTTTCAGGTTCTAGAGAATTGAACGTAAATCAGTTACTTAAAGTTGAACTAAATTAATAAAACAGAAGGCTAAAGGTTGTGATTCTTCTCTGTGTACTTTACTAAACAGCACCACACTTACCCAACGTCCACTCGGAGTTTCTTCAGCGTGTTCCACACTAAAGCTACACAGAAACAACTCAGTATTACACTATTACACTTCACTGATCACAGTCTGAAAAATACACAATTATTTCTGTTCTTAATCTACAAAAACAACATGCAACAACATGCGGAGGTTAGAACTACTTCTCTTACATTTCACACAGCGCAGAATAGTGACATGACGCTGTAACACTGTAACAGCACGACACTGTATCAGTGTAACAGCACGACACTCTATCAGTGTAACAGTGTAACAACACGACACTCTATAAGTGTAACAGTGTAACAGCACGACACTATCAGTGTAACAGTGTAACAGCACGACACTGTATCAGTGTAACAGTGTAACAGCACAACACTATCAGTGTAACAGTGTAACAGCACGACACTGTATCAGTGTAACAG